CAACTACTTCAATGAGGGAAAGAGTTGTCGGTGAATTGGGGGTGGGGGGTGGGGGGAGGGGGGGGCAAACTATAAACTGAGAGAGCTTTAAGTCACAGTAACTGCTTTACCCACTTAAAGTAGCAGCAGCAGTAATAGTTGTGGTTGGGCTGTTACACCATAGTGCTCTCATGTGAAGACCGCCGGTAAGGTTATGGCGTTCTTCTGTCGGCAAATGAAATTATACATCCTAACCTGACCAGTCTGTGGCGACAGCACTAGCCATGCGGAACCAAATCTTCTGGCTCACGACTCTCTGTCTACTCCGATGGTAACACAGATAGCAGTGACATTATTTTAGTAGTTGTACTGGTACTTGAAGGATGATGTGGTAAATATTACACTAGCCCCATTCACTACCTATTACAATTCCTGCTCCCTATTTTAGTCCAAATGGACAGAGATGTCAATGTCAGTTACAGCAACAAAAAAATATCGCCAGGTAGTGATTTTCAAATCCTTTGAAGAGGGAGAGAGCAGTAGTCGGTGGAAGAGGGGAGGGGGTAATGAATTAAATTTAAGAGAACCTAAAGAGCTTTACACGTGATTTTCATGTTCTTATTACCTAATTTGTTTATATTTTACTAACGCTACCTCCGCTTTTCTATTTTTTACGACTTACTTTGTTATTCACAAGTACAGTTGTAGCTTTACTTCCGTCCCCTATAAAAATACAAACAGCTTTAGCATGTGATAACCAAATAACCATTTTTGTTATTGTGCTAATAACACCATTTAAACGACCACTAATATAAAGACACAATTATAAGGTGCGTGTTCTAAAGTTGGAAAACCAGACTATCTCTATGTGCAGAGAATGATTGCGACATTAACTATATTAGACACATGCGATTTCCATTGCCTTTCTTTTCCAGAAAACCTTTGATGAGGGAGAGAGTAGTAGGTGGATTTAGTTATGGTGGTGGGGGGGGGGGGGGGGCGCGGATCAAAGACTATCTCTATATCTGAGCAGACAATGATTGTATTAGACACGTGCAATTTCTATTTTCTTTCATTTCCATTTAGCCAAACTATGCCACAGCAACGTGTGGCCGGGTACAGCTAGTTTTATATATAATAAACAAACAGTTAATGAACTGATCGGCACTTATAGAAAGAAGTAGAAAGATAGAAGGACACACTGTACATCATTAAAAATAGAAAGCTATAGCTACCATGCTGGGAATCAAACCTGTCACCTACAAATGGTGTGTGTGCTTCACCGTGGAAACAAATGTACTAAGAACATGACCAACTAGGCACCTCCCAAGAAAAAAGATGTCTCATAACCTGAAATCCACAACTATGGAATATGGACAGAATTCATCTCAACCCATTAAATGGTACCATAGGTTACAGAAATGTATATTTCCATGGCAAGGCTCACACACCATTTGGGGGTAACAGGTTTGATTCCCGGCACGGTAACTTTAGCTTTTGATTTTTATGTTGTCTAGTGTGTCCTTCTATCTTAGACTGGACTGACCTGGTAGCCTGGGTCAGTTTATACAAATTCATCTTGATATGGATTTGAATCCAGACTTTCAGGCTGCTAGACAGTTGTCTAGCCGGAGGGATACTGCAGCTCCTGTATGTTGAATGAAGTCGGTGAAATTCTAGAGAAGGTGAGATGAAAGAAATGTCTAAGGAAATTGGAGTCACAAAGCCTAATGAAGTAGTCTAGTATATTTCAGTTTAATTTCTTCTTCTTTGCATTCACTGGTGGTAAACTCTGGCAGAAATTTATGGCTGTTTATCCACTTTTGGACTTTAGTCTTGTTCCAGAACTTGAATTTTATGTACACATTCATTTTACAGATCCGGCTTATTTATATGCAGACTATTGGTTTCTCTCCTCCCAAGCAGATGAACTATTACTTTAAAGGAAACACCCCTGATTAATCTTCTTTTACAACATGCTTTGTTAGGGGGCACTGCATATGTTGTTTTTTCCTGACAATAGGGTCCTGAATCCACACAGGAAATATTTCATTTCAGATGTTACCATTTCACACTTTTACTTTATCTTCAGGAGGTAACTAAACAGCTGCATGACTTGCAATTGGCAGCAACTGAAAGCAGAAAGAAGATGCAAAGCCAGAGTAAGTTCATTGTTAACTAGGAATTGCATCTATAGAAATGCAACCACAGTACCTTACACATCACTTTAGCAACCTTGGATCTGTTATTTTTCTCAACATATCAGTCAAGTTCTTTTCTGTCTCAACAGTGATAAACATTATTTTTCTTTAAATCGTAACACTTTTCTATGTCACCTTCATTTGTCGCATAACCAGATGTTTGATTGGAAGCTGCTTTTAAGGTGAAATTATTGTTACCACATAGATTTGGGAATCACTGTAGGATATTGACTAAATGACTGCATGTTGGCCTGAAGTCTTGGGTTCAAATCCACATCGAGTCGGATTATTTTCAAAATTGATCTTGATTATTGATCTTTGATTATTGGGTTGACCCGGCCTAAATTGAGTACCAGTTAATGCCCTGCAAAGTGAAGAGCTGGCGTGGTGTTGACCTCATCCCCCACTGATTGGCCTATAAAATATGAGTCTAGCAAGATATACCAGATGTGCCACTGGCATAAAAAGTGTCCTTTGTTTTTTTTAACTGTTCTGTTTTAGACAGATTACTATTATTTATTTTTGGAACTTTATCCGCTGTATGAAAGAACATATATAGTCCCCCCAGCAATACATTTTCTGTCCCAGAATCAAGGTGCATCTCATACATGGGATACTTGGAGAAATATGGTAGATGTCAGTTTTGTTTTGTTTTTGTGCACTAAAGTATATGTATGTAATGTTTTGCAGCTAGTGCTGAAAGAAATGACAGAATGCAAGCTGAAAAAGCTATGAAAACTAAGCTTGATGCTGCGGAACATGAGGTTATGTATTTTACTGAGTATAGTTGTTGTTGTTTACAGTTTTTTAGTTCATTTTGATGTTATTTTATGGATGTATGTGCCTGAGGTGTTGCAGACATGCTCTGTAATTTTAGAATACCTGGTTCGATTCCAGCTGTGGTATGGAGCTCTGACTGCTTTGAAGGCAATGGCAATGACTGTAGGAGTTTGTGAGAATGGTATCCATTAGTTGGTTAGTCACAGTTCCATATGCACAGCAGACTAGTCACTCCATAATTGCTCTTTTTCTTTGCAGCGAAGCCCACACAGAATGCCCTTTCACAGTTTAACTCAGTAGCCGGGCGACAGAACTGTACTTTCAGCCCACATGTAAAGGAAAATGCAGCAGCAAACCTTGACCAGAAACAAATAATATACCATAACATCAGCTGTCTGCCTATCTATCCACCATATTGGACAGGAAGTCGTATCCATTAGATGACATCTGTCACTGCCAAACAGGAAAGTAACATGGCTGATGGTAATCAGAACTGTGATAGCTGGAATGGATACTACTTTGTTAGGACTTGTACATGTTTGTATGTGAATCTGTTCATTCATGATGTAATTCAGTCCTATGATTGGATTTGTATGTGTCTGATCATGAAACTCCCATTCACCCCATGTCTCTTCAGCTTGGCGTAAAAATAAATAACACCTTCCCATGCCTTGAAGCCCACACATATATATATATATATATATATACAAAAGGGTTTCAAATGAAAACCTTAAAAGTATGATAGAAATGACAGTTATCAGGTCATTGTCTTGTCCCTTTTCAGTATTGCTGTTAAGGATGTCAAGAGTATTAAGCATGTGACATCACAATGCAGACAAACACTGTGACATCATAATAAGTTTAAAGATGGCGACCAACTTTTGACATGCATCAAAAAGGAGTGTTGTTTTATCCGGGTTTTTTTTCCAGATCAATGAAGAGGTAAAACCTTTTAAAAACTAATCGGCCAGGTCCAGTATGGTGATGCATATCTGTCAGTCCGGTGGAGTAGAAAATTTCAAAATGCTGTGGCTTCTGTGACAGACTGTTCCTGACCAGACCAGGCACAATGAGTGAGGACCCTAGAAATGACTGTAGCCACTGAGGCCCTTATAAAAAAAAAATGCCACTTGTGAGTGACATTGCCGCACATCTTTACAGCTGTCATCATCATCATTGTTGCTTAGTCAACAAAACCACATTTATCATGGTAAAAGGGGAGGAAAGCAGTTAATTCTCTGCTCTGTTTATATTTAGTGATTAATTCCCTTACTTACACAAATTATTTTCCTTATACAAGTGAGTGGAAAAAATTTATATAAATTACTTTCGTGATTGATTTGACACCCACAGTGTTACAGTGGCTATCATGCTTGCCTGTCTGCTCAGTGGTCATAGGTTTCGCCCTCTATGATTTGTATAAAAACCTACCAAAACTCCAAATTTCTTTTGATTCTTGCTTTCTTCATCTAGTTCCTTAGTTTCTTTTTAATGAACTTCTACAGGTTTTGGAGAATTATAAAGTTGTTTCTTTTTAACTAAATTTTACAAGTTTTGGGGAAATTATAAAGATTTTGTTTATTTGTAACGATTTTCTACAAGTTTTGGAGAATTATATTGTTTCTTTTTAACGAAATTTTACAAGTTTTAGAGAATTAAAAAGATGGTGTTTCTTTTTAACAAAATTTTTTGCAAAGGTCGTTTTTAAATTTAATTTTTTTGAAAAGTTCATTTTTGAAATTACTTTTTAGAAGTTTTTTTAAAATTTCTTTTAAAGATTCTTACAGGCCAAAAGTGTGGCATCTATTGTATGGTAGCTCAGGTGTTAATATCTTTTTAGAATTTTTAGCCTGCTCATGCAAAGAGCACATCAAGGGTAATTTATTTCCTTTAGCAAACCACTTAATGCTCGTACGGGGTGGGGGAAAATATATCAGCCATGAGCTGAACTGTGATCATGTTTGACTACACTGACTTGTCTATTGTTTGGTAATGCAACAACCTTTCATTAACATGTGAAGACATTTTTTAAAAATATAGATGCAGAAATTAAAGGAACAACTTAAGAAGAAGGACACAGAGCTGTGTAATATATTAGTTACCCTACAAGAAAGAGAGGAGAGTCTTCAAACTGTGAAGAAATCAAAAGGTATTTGTCTTTTTATTGCAGTGAAAGCTCGTTAAAATGAATTCCAAGAAAATTAAACATAAAGAGTAGATGTTTACAGAGATGTATGCTAAGTGATCCATACTAGGACCAAAATTGTGTTCTTGTTAACTGAATGTTTTTCTTGAGTGAGTTCATCTTAATAAGGTTACTGTAATTAGAAGTAATTTTTATTCAGTCTTAGCCTGATAGCTGGTAGGCACATCATGAGGAGAATTGGACATAGAATTACTAAACAGGCAGTGAAATGGGAAACAATTGGACTGAGGAAACAAGGATATCCAAGAGAAACCTAAGACAAACATAGGTGAGAGAGGCCAAAAGTGCCAACCATGAGGATATTTCTGGTGGCTGCCTTATGCATTTAATGAGTTTGTAAGCTATTGGTTTTGCTAAGACTGCAGTCTACTGTTCATTTTTAAACAAAACACAGTAATGGGCATTCTGTGCAGTTTTTGCTGATACAGAAATGAAGCAATTACCTGCTGACCCATCTGTTGTGAACTTGGAATTGTGATTAACTGATTAACATATCTGACAAGGAAGAACAAATCAGAATGTAGTGTAAAACAGCCACTCTCAGTCTACTTGATGATAAATATCCACAGAATCTTTGGGTTCATGTTTACATAGATGGGTCAGCCAAAAATGTAATCAGAAACAGAGGAGCATGAGTGTACATTGAGCATCCAAATAATACCAGAGATACAACCAAAACACCAACAGGATAGCACTGTCACAACTATGATGCAGAAGTTCAAGCCATCAAGATAACAGCAGAGAAACTACTAAATACCAGGTATATTTCACAACCAGTGTTATTCCTGACAGATGCGAAAGCAGTACTTCAGGCACTGCAGTCTGGAAAATTACCAGGCATATAGACACTACTATCTGAACTAGTCAACCTGTCTAAGATAGTTATGCAATGGATACCAACTCACTGTGGAATTCCTGGAAATGAAAGAGCTGATAAACTAGCTAAGGAAGATGCAACTGAAGAACAACCTGATGTACCAGTCTTTTGTCAACAGAAAAAGAGTTGAGTTGAGTTGAGTCAAGAATTGACATCACAGCACTTGGGGCATTCCAATGCATGCTCCGTCTTTATCTTTAGCAGCCAGCGCAGAGTTCCAGTACTGATGGAACCGGTCACAATTTGGTTATTTGTATGTCCTGCCTTTTCTCTGAGTGTAGTGAGCCGGCCAGACCTTCTGGTTACACCCAGGTGCTTCATTGTGTCCAATCATAATAGTCTTCTTTCTCTACTGATTCCGTTGCTTGTGCTAAAGTCCAAATTGACGAACAGCCAGGACTTTCCAGTGGAGCTAACAGTCAATGAATAAAGAAGAAGAAGACACTACTGTGTTAATTATTGTATATCTCTTATACTTAGTCTATGTTTTTGAACATCACACTTACCAAATGTGTGTCATAAATATGTCGGTATGATGAACCATAATGTTGTCATAATCTGCAGAGGAATTGCAAATAAAAGTCTCAAGTTTGCTTGATGAGATAGTCAACAAAGAAGAACAACTCAAAGAATCGTCTCTTAGAATATCAGCTGTTCAGGTATTTTTCTATTGTGGAATACAATTCACATATCTTTTATTGTGAATTTGTGGGTGCATACTTGCATGTGGATTTTTTTCTCAGTTGACATTTTTTTAAAACAATTTTTCAGCATAATATGTAGAAGGTGCTGATGTTAAATGCCATTTTGTTCCGTCCATTACTTTTGTGGCATCTGGACTGAGCTTGGGTTTGGGTCCATAAAACAGAGACCCATATATTAAGCTCACAGTACCTCATTGTACTAAGCCACGGTGATGTAGTAATGTAAGTAAAGTAAAGGACCCTTGTCAATGCTATCAGGAACATTGAATGTATAGTGCTAGACCTAAATTTGTAGACCATTTGGCAATAAGGTGATGTGGTAAAATCCTGTGCAGCTAAAAGATTACATAGCTCTTCATAGAGAGTAATTCCCCAGGCAAAGATGCTGGCTAAATTGTTGCCAATAACAGACATTCAAAAACAATACTTGATATGAGGCTTTTTTTCAGTTGTCTTTTGGTGTTATCCTTAACTTTGTTTTTTAGAGCATTCCAATATATGTAAACCAAAGAACTGTTAAATAATGAAATTCCCTTTGTGTTGTGTGTATGGCATTGACGCTTTTATTTATTTATTTTTTTTTTTTTTTCAAATGTGATTCTCATATAGAGGTTTTTCCTAATTATATACTTTTAGGATGACAAACACAGATTAGAAAAATTATTGAAAGGGCTGGAGCATGAATTCAATTCCCTTCAGATTGCCAAAGATAGCATTACTTTGGATATGACAGAGGCTGCTAAACGACTAGAAGCTCAGCTTCAAAAAGAGAAACAGGAGACAGAATCTACACAAATCCTGCTAGAGGAAGAACGAAACAAGTAAATACTCAATTTAATTTTTATCTCTAGCAAGTTTTTTAAATAACATCAGCAGTAAATTGTATATTGTTATATCATATTTTGTCAAAATTGATTTTTAAAATTCCCAGTAAAAGTAAGGTAAAGGACCCTTTTCCACACTTTTCAGGTGTATTGGGTATATAGGGCTAGACCTATATTTTATAGACCAGCGGCACAAGACTGGTGATGTGGTAAGCATCGCGCAGGGCACCTTTACTTCCCTGGACTGCCCCTAGTACTCAGTCAAGTCCGGCCTCTCCAGGAAATGAACCCACGATTTTGCGATCCGCAGGCGAGTGTCTAACCAGGGCGACTCCCAAAGTTCTCAATACTTGCTTCATAAGACCTGTAGTTAATAAACTAAATCATTAAGTGTTGCTAAGAACAGCAAAATAACAAGAATAATAAATAATATTTAAAATTATAAATGTAGAAGTTTTACAGATGCTTACAATAAATCTGTTTCAATATTATGAAAAGTTTATATGTATGTGAACTGTAACAAGTTTATAATTTTACTTATGCTGTATTCTGTTAGATTGAAAACATGCAAGGATAAGCTTGCAGAAACATCTGCATTAGTGGAAAATCTTAGAAACAGCAAAGGTATTGTTACAACGTTCATGTAAATTTATGCTAAATAATGTTATGAAGATAACTGTTGAACAAATTATTTTATTAAGCATGATGGTTAAAAGTTTTTCTTTATATATGCTCAGATTTTGAAACCTAATTTTATAAGCAAACATATATTAAAATGTCATAGAATGTGTAATATAATTCTTTCATAATTTACATTTTAGTTATCCTACAGAGATGTATAGTATGTATACTACACTCTTCATGTGGATTCTGGGGCCCAGCTTGGGGGTGGGTTGGGGAGAGGGGGAGAGAGGTAGATCCATTTCTCCTTAACAAACATGTCATAAAAGTGTTAGCTGAAACTGGATGTGTTGGGCCAAAAGGTGCAAATATCGCAATGCAGTGTGCCAGTAGCTCTTTTAAGAGCAAACACTGAAGAAGAAGCATTTGTACTGAGAGAATCTTTCAGCCCATGACAGTTTTGTAGAAAATTATCAAGCATGATATTTCCAAATTACAATTTTAAAAAGTAATCTTTTGTCGTTCGCCTGAAATAAGTTGTCTATATCAGCAATTTTGTCTCTTGTATAAATTTCACTGTCGTCAGTTCATTCAGGAGTCCATAGAGTTTACGTTCCACGGTTGTTCTTTCTGGCCAAAAGGTTTGCCATAATGTGTCAAATTCAGTGAAGTCATGGACTACATGCTCTGCTGTCTGGAGTACCTTTCCACAGGTGCACATGGCTGATACGCCTATTTTGAATTTTGTGTACATGTGGTTACGTAATCAATTGTGCCCTGTTCTGAGGCGGAGAATAATGACTTGTTCTGATCTGTCCATAATAAAATAGTCGTCTTGTGCTGGGGCTGGTGGTTTCCTGATTGATTTAATGATTCTTTTCTTTTGGTGGTATGTGACTGGTACATCCGGCTGCACTTTTGTCGCACCTTCCCCTGCCAGTTGATCAGCATTCTCAATTCCAGGCACTCCACAATGTGATGGTATCCACTGCATTACGACTCTTTGCTGAAGGCTGAGTTGTGTCAGCAATGTTTGCAATTCTGGTAGTTTCCTGGACTAGAGTGCTTCAAGTACGGATTTTGCATAAAAAAGTAATGACTTCATTCATTTTCAAGAAACTCACTGCAAAATGCAAGTGGTCACCTAGGAGGTCAGATTTCTTGAGTATGTTCAGAATGAAAAATAAGTTACAGTATAAAATAGATTTTTATAGCAGTTCAAAGAAAGGACACATAACAGCATGAATTTCTTGGGATTACAAAGATTTCATACAAGAAAATACGTGTAGTCATAATGTTGGCTAAAGTCAAATAGAAATCTAAGGAAATCTGTAACTCTAATGTTTAACGCAGTCGGCTCTGTGGCTAAGTCGATGCAAACACTTCGTAATGCCTGGATGCCGGGTTCGATCCCAGCTGCGGGCCATGCGCCTTGCGTTGGTTTTAACAGTGGTATCAAGAAAGCCGACCGTCCAGAAAGCAATGGCAAACTATTGGACGTAAATTCGCCTAGAAAAACCTCACAACAGCCATGGGCTGTTGGGGTTGGTTCTGCAACGTCCTGTAAAGGATACGCAACTAACTTAATGTTTAACGCAAAGTAAATGCTACTACTTTTCATTCTGAATAGTTTTCAGCATGTGCGAAATGGTATTGTTTCATGAAAGTAATACTAATTTTGTATAATTCCCTAACTTACAGATTCACTTATGATGGAGAAAACTGACATTGAAATGCAGCTTGATTTGGAAAAGTTACAAATAGTAAGTTGGGTTATATGCTGGTGTATATTTGGTAGGGCTTATTATTGTTGCTTATGTTTTTTATTGAGTCTGTTCATTTAATTCTACATCTTTATTTGAAATAAATGTCAATTGTTTAAGTAATATAGAAAGTGTTTTTTCCACATTTAAAAATTAAATAAAATAATGTGGGTATCACCTGATCATGAGGCAGAAAATCAATCAGTAATGCTCATTTGATTTATGTTATTCATTGGAAATGTTATTCACTTGTTGCTTGTAAAGAAAAATGTGTGCTTTTATATTATTTCTTATACAGTTTAATTGTTTTATTATGTCAGAACAACCTATTGACAGAGAAGACTGAAGACAAAGAAGAAATCAACAAGTTGACTGCGGAGATTTCTTCGCTGAAGAAGAAACTAGAAAAAGAAAGCCATTGCAGAGTACAGGCACAGGTTCTGCAATCTTCTATTTTTTAAAATTAATTGTGTGTGTGTGTGTGTGCGTGCGTGCAGGCGAGCCTGCCTGCCTGCATGCGTGTAAAGAACTGTTCAGTGGCGGCTCATCGCTAGAATTAGTGGGTGTGTTGATTCAGAAAATATGTAGTCATTGTTTAGTATTGTGTAAATGAAACAAACATTTTTTTAAATCTATACTTAAAGTTTATATAATCCTAAAATATTTTTTTTCATTGCTAATGGCCTAAATTGTTACACTTTAAAATTTATCTATTAATTTAAATATAAAATCCATTCTTCTTGTTCTACTTTGCTAAGAAGAAAAAAAGAATTACTAAAACAGGGTCAGTCGTCACTGCATTTGCAACAGTGCCCACACTACCTTATGTGCAGCTTTTTATCTTGGACATGAGTTAGGTCAAGAATTTACATCACAGTACTTGGGGCATTCCCATGTGTACTCCATCCCAATCTTCAGCAGCCATCGCAGAGTTCCAGTACTAATGGTGCCGGTCATAATCTGGTTATATGTCCTTCCTGCCTTTCCTCTGATTGTAGTGAGCTGGCCAGACCCTCTGCTTAAATGTTTCCTGGGAAGTTTATGTGGTAGCTTTCCCTTAAGTACCACTAGTTAGCTTTGATTTTAAATTTGTTAATTTCTTTTATAATGTTGACATTTTACTTTCAGGATGAAGCAGAAACATTACGCTTACAAATGAAAACTTGTCTACTGGAACGTGATGATCATTTTGAAGAAATCAGATACATGAAGGATGAGATCTTCAGCAAACAGGTAAACAAAAATTTAAGTAATCCTGCTTCTGCTGAGGACTGAACCCACAACACTCCCTGTATACTTCTCTATATCCTTTTCATATCGCTGTTAGTACATAAGGCATTCTTTTTCTTCTTCTTCACATTCACAGTCATAAACTGTTGCAAAAGGTTCTAGTTGTTCGTCAACTTGTGGATTTTAGCTTTGTTCGAGAACTTTGTTTTTGTGTCCACATCTATTTTACAGATCTGGTATTTTGCTAGTATGTTGTTTCCTAGCCTGTCAGGCAGATGCACTCTGACTTCAAAGGAAACACCCCTAATTAGTTGACTTTTACTATATGCTTGTCAGGGGGCAGGGTTTAACCCCCCCACCCCCAACAATGGGGCTGCAGAACCCACACGGAAAATGAGGCATTCACAAATAATCTCCTGTGCTGCTGGTCTACTGCTTTTCAGGCAGTGGTATCCCCTGTCATTTAACATCATTTCCCTTTCTGCTATTCTTATCCAGGTGTTTGCTTAGGTTGTCCGTGTTTTCTTAGGTTGTCCGTGTTTTCTTAGGTTGTCCACGTCTTTTTTTTTCCGTCTGGAATGCTAGGGCCCCACTTTGAAAGAAAAGAAGAGACTTAGTGCTCCTAAACTAGCATGTTGTAAAAGACCACCAGTTAAGGGTTGGCTTCTCTATCTGAGTTCTAGGGCTCCATTTCGGGGAAGGGGGTGGGAAGGAAAGATCCGCAACCACCTTTACAGTCATGTCGTACAAGCCGGCTTATTAGGGGTTTGCTGAAGTCAGATGTGTGTGGCTTAAAAGTGCAGATATCACAGCCTACCAGTAAACCACATCACAAGGGGCCAACCTCCCTTTTATGGGCAAATGCAGAAGAAGAAGGGTTTGTTTTAATTAGATGTGGGCTGAAAGTGGATATCACAGCCTTGCTGTAAACAACGACACATTCTGACAATCCACCCTTTTAATGGAGAAAGAAGAAGACAAACCCAAAACACTGTCTTGTCTTGGCAGACAAGCACACTGTTCTCTATTCCACCCCTTCACCTTGTTGTATTACTTCTATTTTCTATCAGTTGCTAATGCATTTCTAAAATTACTAATAATGATTACAGGAGAAAATTAAATCTTTGGAAAGCTTATTGTCAGAGGAAGAGCACAGGGCCATGAAACTGCAAAGTGAAATTGATAAAGTGGAAGGAAGAATGACAAGTGACAGGTTCATATGTTCAGTTTGGAGTTGCTGATTTACTGTTTTGAATTGTCCACACAGTAATTTCCTTTAGCCTGATACATTCATAGATTGAAAGGCACATTTTATAACATGAAATAATGTTGTTAAAGCGTTTCTTAGAGTGTGTGTTTAATCTTTTAAGGATTAAATTGTTTTTATATGTTCAACATATTCTGATATACAAGCTCTCTTTGTTTCTCTTACTGTCACTCTCACTCTCTGACTGTCTTTGATTTTGATGTGTAAAACATTTTTTAATCTTGTGAAGTTTTCTTTGCATTTAATTGTTTTGTTATATTTTTCATTTATTTTGTAACTGAAGTAAGGTAGAGGTTTCTTCTCTGTGCTTTACCCCTGGTTGGTTAAACAGTTTAAAAATTGTGGTTGATCATGTCAGCTGCCTTTACTTCCCATGATATTGCCTATGGCCTTGGTCAACCTGGAAGCCAAGTCCATGTATATATAGTGCTAGCCACATATTTTTATAGGTCAGCTGGCACTCAGATGGTTGTTTTGGTCAGTAGCACACCTTCTGCCTGTATGTCCTTGACCATTTTCAGATAGTGATTCAGGCTGGAAGCCAGGTTAGTATTTTTTCTTTAAGCTATCTCAAGAGGGTTTCATTCCCATGACTGAGTTAAGCTGAGTCAGAAACCGAAATCACTACACTCAGGAACTTCCCATATGCGCTGCATTTTTCTCTTCTGCCACCAACAAAGAGTCTTACTTTGTATGGTCCTGTAGTAGTTTGATGAATGTCTTGTATCGACTACATCACCTATTTACTTCACTGTGCACCATTTTCTCTATACACCATAATGATCAGGTCGCATTTCCACATTGTTAACTTTCTCCCAAAGGGTTTTAATCTCATCTCATCTAGCTTGACATGCATCATCAAGTCACCAAGTTGATTAATGACCTATATATATATATATAAATATAAAAATCAATGTTTGTGTGTTTGTTTGCCCCCTATAGACTCTGAAACTACTGAACCGATTTAGCTGAAATTTTCAGGATATGTTTGTTTTGATACCGGATGTTGAACCATCATGGTTTGAAATTCAACCTGTCACTGTTAGAGATAGGTGACCACAATTTAAGCCATAATATTCGAAACTAATATATATAATTTTAGTGATTTCTAATTATAGCCACGTTAGTAATTGCGCATGCGCCGTGCAGCCAACACCTCCTTTAATACATAGAGTAGGTCGTGGTACAGCAAACAAGACTATATCTATATCTGTGCAGGCAATGATTGCCACAATAACTATATTAGACACAATTTCTATTTTCTGGTTTTTTTTTTTTCAAACATCCTTCGATGAGTTGAAAAGTAGCCGATGGATAGGTAGGGAAAAAGAGGGGGTGGGGGCATCAGGGACTATCTCGACGTCTGCGCAGAGATTGACTGCGACATTTACCGTGTTAGACACGTGCGATTTCTTTTGTTGTGCCGTTTCATTAATATATTTGGAATATCTGTCCAGGACACTGCAGTAGGGACACACATCTGAAATAGTTATGTTCTCTTTTCGTTATTACGATTGAGTGGTTGCTTGGTCGAATGGTTAGAACACTCGGCTCTTGAGAGGGAGACCAGGGTTCGAATCCGCAGTAGTTTTTTTTTTTTTTTTTTTTTTTTTTACTTAGGGCTAAAATAAAATCCTCACCTGCACTGTCGTGGCGACAGCACTAGCCATATGGCCCTTAATGATATATATTTAAAAAAAAAAAAAAAAAAAAAAAACCCAGGACAGGTTTGTGGGTAAACCAGTTGATAATTAAATTTGACCATTTCACATACTTATGATTTCATTTTAAACTTTTCGATTGCATGGTTACGCTGAAATTTCATAGCTTTCCATTTATTTTATTTTAGATTTAATTATTTAATCTGCGTTGGAATTTTAAGCTGTGCTGTTTACCATAGCGTTCATTTCCTAATTCTAGTGTATTTTTCCTGTTTCAATTGCTTTTCAATTGGTTTTTTTCCCCTCTCAACTACTTCGATGAGGGAAAGAGTAGTCGGTGAATTTGGGGGGGGGGGGGGGGGGCAGACTGATTACTGAGAGAGCTTTAAGTCACAGTAACTGCTTTACCCACTCAATGTAGCAGCAGCAGTAGTAGTTGTGGTTGGGCGGTTACACCGTAGTGCTCTCATGTGAAGACCGCCGGTAAGGTTATGGCGTTCTTCTGTCGGGGAGCGAAATCATACATCCTAACCTGACCAGTCTGTGGCGACAGCACTAGCCATGCGGCGCCAAATCTTCTGGCTCACGACTCCCTGTCTACTCCGACAGTAAAACAGATAGCAGTGACATTATTTTAGCTACTGTGGTGGTGGTCTTGGTAGTAGTTGTACTGGTACTTAAAGGATGATGCGGTAAATATTACATTAGCTCCATTCACTACCTATTACAATTCCTGCTCCCAATTTAGTCCGGATGGACAGGGATGTCAATGTCAGTTACAACAAAAAGAATATCGCCAGGTGATGATTTTTCAATCCTTCGAAGAGGGAGAGAGCAGTAGTCGGTGGAAGAGGGAAGGGGAGAGGGTAATGACTGAAATTTAAGAGAACTTGAAGAGCTTTACACATGATTTTTAAGTTCTCATTACTTACTTAAATTGTTTATATTTTACTAACACTACCTTCACTATTCTAATTTTTGTACGACTTACTTTGTTATTTACAAGTACAGTAGAAGCTTTACTTACGTCTCCTATAAAAATACAAACAGCGTTAGCATGTGATAACCAAATAACCACTTTTGTTACTGTGCTAATAGCACCATTTAAACTACCACTAATAATATAAAGACACAATTATATGGTGCGTGTTCTAAAGTTGGAAAACCAGACTATCTCTATATAAATGTGCAGAGAATTATTGTGACATTAACTATATTAGACAGGTGCGATTTCCATTGTCTTTCTTTTCCAAAAACCTTTGATGAGGGAGAGGGTAGTAGGTGGATTTAGTTGTGGGGGGTGGGGTGGGGATCAAAGACTATCTCTATATCTGAGCAGACAATGATTGTATTAGACACGTGCGATTTCTATTTTCTTTTATTTCCATTTAGCCAAACTATGCCACAGCAACGCGTGGCCGGGTACAGCTAGTGTATATATATATATATATATATATATATATATATATATATATATATATATATATATATATATAATATATATATATATATATATATATATATATATATATATACACATATATTGAAGGGTTTTTCTGGAAATCCCATGTGTTCATAACAGGGTTTTTTTTTGGGGGGGGGGGGGGCAGACTAGGGAGATAAGGTTAATGGACTTCTAATCAAACAGACTGGAGCTTGTTGTTTAGTTATTATTTTAAATAAATCTCAGATTAAATCTCCACTGACAATCACATTGTTAATATGGAACCTGTAGTGATGGTTGTCTGCACATGTTCGGGTGAACGATCATAAAAGATCATAGATGTGAAATAAGATCAGTATGGCACTAATGGGACCCTTCATGGTCTAGTGGCTAGATGCTCACTAGGTACAGTCCTGGGAAGTAAAGGTGGCCGGCATGTGCTGACCACATCACCCACCAAGTACAGTTTGGTCTATAAAATGTAGGTCTAGCCTTATATACCCAGTACACCTAAAGGTGTGGAAAAGGGTTCTTTACTTTTACTTTACTTATGGCACTGATATGTCAACATTTTTTTTCAGACAACATCTTCAGCAAGTTGTGGAACAGGTGGATGAACTCAAGCAAGAGATACAGAAAAAGGATGCTGATTTACAAGTGAAGGAGCAGGAGTTTGACAAGCTCATCAATGATTTCCAGGTGTGGTCTGTTATGTTTAACTACTTGTTCTTTCTTTAATAGTGTTGGCAAGCAGTTGCGTTAACACTTTCTGAATGAATTGCTGGACAGTCTGACATGGCATGGAAGATCATCTAGGTTAGAGTTGACTGAAAGTACATGAGACAGAAGGTTGTGGATAGACATGATTACCAATGCCACACAACATGGACAAAGATGTATTTGTTATTTTGAATGAATCAAGAGTTTCCTTTCATCTCTACATTTATTTATGTCATATATGTGACAGCTGTCATATTATCCACTGTACTACAATGGCAGTCCATAAGATATCATCATCATCCTGTTTTATCATTTAAGGCAATGCTAACCTTTTAAAACTAAATTGTATACTATTTAATTTCTACGTTCTGGTGTGGTATATGGTTTTATACAAAGACCTGAGATCGATAAAATAATGTCAAACTGACTGTGCACTCTATAGTTGCTACGGAAACCAAGATTTCTTGTGATAGGTCTAAAAAGCACCATTTTTGTATGTACAGGCTCAATTTTTTGGGGTATATTTATACATTCATAGCCCCTTTACACAAGTACAGAAAATTTTTATGATATCACCTACCATTTCTTTTCTACCTAATTTTAAAAATTTAGCATATATTTTAGACAATGTTTTTGGCATTCCGACTGCTGCACAAAAACTAAATCTTAGTTTCATAAATGCTGTTTTTTTTGCATGAGTAATACAATGTTAAATAGATGTATAAAGTTTCATTATAATCAGACAAGCAGTTGTTGAGAAAAATGTATTGCAAGATGAAAAACTGCCAAAATGAGAAAATGGAGGAAAAAGGAATTTTTAAAAATGTTTTTTTTTTTTATACTAATAACGTTATTTTAATGCTTTAACATGTTATTCTGCACAGGAAAAAAAAAGTTTCTGATATTACGTGATCAGGACCTCCCCATAGGGCATGTAGTTTATCTTACCTCTTCAGTTTGGCATCTCGTATACTGTCGCATGTCTTAGTTTGCTTGTCCTTCTTATACTTTAAGCTATTTCTCTCTTCTACATCCTAGAAGCTCCTAGTCTCTTTATACGCAGGCCTGTAGAAAATCCCAAAAACTGGGCAGAATCTTGAGAAGCAACAGCACCAAAGTTGAACTTTGTTGCTGTTGTTACAATTGCAAATTGAATGCGCTTGCGGGAGGAAAACTTGTCTTTAGTACAGAGTGCCCAGATCAGGCTGTCTAAACGCTCATTTGAATTTTGAGTTTTTCCTGAAACCCGTTTACTAAGTAGTTTAGGGTCAGACAGCCTTTCATAAATTGGCAAAAGATATTTCTGTAGCTTGCCACATTTTAGCCATGTGTGTATCATCTTGTCATGAGGACCCAGGGACTGATGCTTAGCCGTGGCGGGCTGAAAAAATCACCAAGATTGCTCTCCACTTGAGCTCATTTCGTGGCATGGAGCTTTGTCTGTTGAAAAAGAGTGATGCAGTGAAGCCATAACACTGTTTCTCTTGGAGTCTACGCTTGTCTTGTTCCTTTTTGCTCTGTAGTAATAAATTGTCAGCTTACGAATGGCATTTTGTTTAAGCTGACCTTTATTACTACATCTACCTAGGGTCACGCTCTGTCACATAGGGCTTGCAGTCTGTTCCTCAGTCTCACTTTATCTTGTGCAGTCTTTTTTATAACAACGGGTGGAATCAAGTCCAGCACCTTTAGCATCTCTCTTGAACTTTTTTTTGTTATAGTGTTTGTCCTTGATGTCTTTGTCTCTTCAGTCCATTTGTTTCTAATTTCAGTACCTGTTAAGTTATTATCTCACTTGATTGTTCTCAGGATGTCCTAGTATATCACCATCTTCTTTCTTGTAACTGTTTATTCCAGTGGTCATCCAGACATTTCTCTTATTTCTTTACCTTTCTTGAATTCATATCATTAAATATCCATCCGTCTCCTCAGGTTTGATATAGTTTGTATTTATATCTGCCCATGATTTGAAGCTTGACACACATCATCAATATTCAACCAGGTTTCTATATATTTTGGGGAGAAGTGTTTTGTCTATACAGTTATTGCTACACCAGCGTAATCTGTATATCATCATCATCATCATAAACCACTTCTGCCGTTAAGTGTCGTGGGGAGGAATAAATTGCGAACCAGTGCACGTTGGCTGCCACTGGCTGTTGTCATGCCGTGAAGGCGTAGAGTGTCTTTAATGTTGTCAATCCATAATTTCCGTGGCCGTCCTCTTGCTATTGTAGCTGATCTTCTGAGATGTAGTGTTTGTGATGGAATTTGATCTTGCTGCATTCTAAAGAGATGGCCAAACCACTTGATCTGCTGTTTCTCGATGAATCTAGTACAAGGTGTTGTTCCCACAATTTGCCTGATAGTTTCATTATTCACTCGATCTCAGATGGTTAGGTTGGCTGCTCTTCTCAGGCATCTTATCTCACAGGTTGTGATTTTGCGTATATGGGCTTTAGATAGTGTCCATTTTTGGCACTGTTAGCTTAATTTGGGAGTGAATACGCTATTAATAATCTGTCTCTTTGCACTCATAGTAATGCTTGAATGTCTTAATAAAGGTGACAATTGGTAAATAAGCGCACTTGCTTTCTGACATCTGGATTCTATTTCTCTGTCAATTCTACCATCTTCTGTGATCATACTTCCTAGATATTTAAACTCCCTAACTTGATTCAGAGCAGAACCATTCAGCTGTATGTGTAGTGGGGCAGGGGTTCTACTAACTTGCATTGTTTTGGTTTTGTTTGCATTAATCTTTATGTTGTATTTACTGCATGCTGAGTTTAACCTGTTAAAGTGGTCTTGCAGTCTATCTTCTTCAGGGTAGAACAAGCACTAGTAGTCAGCAAATAGTAGTTCGTTTAATGTGGGTGAATCAATAATTTCTCCTGATGTGTGTACTTCCTCATGATTATAAAGGTCTATGTTGTCTGTATCAGAACTTGCTTCTTTAGATATTCTGTCTATATAAATATTAAATGAAAGTGGGGAGAGCACACATCCCTGTCTCACACCTGTGTTCACTGTGAACATATCTGATATGCCTTCTTGTGTTCTTATTGCACTTTGGCTTGTGTGATACATGGCTATGATGTTCTCTAGTAACTGTCCTTGTACCCTGTAGTTCTCAAGAAGAGACCATAGTTTGTTTCTATCTATGTTTGTACATATAACAATAATATAATATATGCATATTTCTGTATTCTCTCTTTAACGCCATCAGTTCCTCTATTTGGGGTTCCCTTTTGTTAGTAAGAAAATGTATGTACATTGTTTAACAGAACCTCAGATGGGAAAAAGAAGAAACAGAAAAGAAGTTGAACACATCTGTGACTGAGCTTGAATGCTTAAGGTAATAATTCAGTTTATTATGTTGTTTATGGCTGTGGCTAAAGCAGCTAACGTGGCTATAGACACAGACTTTCACGGGGGGGCATGCTTTCTCAGTGACTCGATGAGTATGCTCAGGAAGATAGAGAAGGGCTGGGTCCGAAGGCTGTGGTTGGTGGCTCTATAGCGTTAATGGCTGACAAGGTTTAGTTTCATTTTCTTGCCAGGACATGTGGGGGGTACAAGGAAATGAGCAAGCTGATAGGCTTGCAGGTAAGGCTACTGTGAAAGCCGGAAAAGCCATAGACCAGGCTAATATACTGATGCTCTACAAGATTGAAAACATTTTCATTAACAAATTTAGAACTGTGAATCTGCAACCATGGTCAGACTGCAAGAACAGGAAGTTAAACTGGGTGTCGCCAAACAAGAACACTACGCGGGTACCCAAAGAAGGATAATTAACCAACACACAACAGGTGTTGTCAACTGCTACACACTGTAGGAATTGCTGAGGAGGGGATCCGAGCACTTATGGACTAAGTGGTTCGACATTCAGTTAGGATAATCTGCCGACTAACTATTACCGACACATTCCACCCACTTTAGACTGCTGGTTGCTTCATAACTCTTTCCTCATATAACAGTGAATGAAGTTTCTGTGATTTGCTTATGTTGCATGCTGACCCAAATAGTGTCTGTTTGAGTCACTGGGTCGTAATCTTTCAGTTTAATTCTGGAGGAGGGAGTTAGAAAGTTTTAAAAAAAAACATGTTTTTCTTAACATTTTAAACCTTTAGACCAGCAGTTCTCAACCTGTGGGTCACGAACCTTTTATGGGTCAAAGACCCTTTCACAGGGGTCACTTAAGACCATAAAAAAAAAAAACATATTCATTGAAGTTATGTATGATGTAGTAGAAAAAAATAGTTGTATGTTTGGGGGCTGCCACAACACGAGGAACTTATCAAGGGTTACCACAACACGAGGAACTTATCAAGGGTTGCCAGATCACGAGGAACTTATTAAGGGTTGCCAGAACACGAGGAACTTATCAAGGGTTGCCAGAACACAAGGAACGTATCAAGGGTTTCCAGAACACGAGGAACTTATCAAGGGTTGCCAGAATACGAGGAACTTATCAAGGGTTGCCACAACAAGAGAAACTTATCAAGGGTTGCCAGAACACGAGGAACACTTATCAAGGGTTGCCAGAACATGAGGAACTTATCAAGGGTTGCCAGAACACGAGGAACTTATCAAGGGTTGCCAGAACACGAGGAACTTATCAAGGGTTGCCAGAACACGTGGAACTTATCAAGGGTTGCCACAACACGAGGAACTTATCAAGGGTTGCCAGAACATGAGGAACTTATCAAGGGTTGCCAGAACACGTGGAAATTATCAAGGGTTGCCAGAACACGAGGAACTTATCAAGGGTTCCCAGAACATGAGGAACTTATCAAGGGTTGCCAGAACACGAGGAACTTATCAAGGGTTGCCAGAACACGAGGAACTTATCAAGGCTTGCCAGAACATGTGGAACTTATCAAGGGGTGCCAGAACACGAGGAACTTATCAAGGGTTGCCAGAACACGATTAACTTATCAAGGGTTGCCAGAACATATGGAACTTATCAAGGGTTGCCAGAACACGAGGAACTTATCAAGGGTTGCCAGAACACGTGGAACTTATCAAGGGTTGCGGCATTAGAAAGGTTGAGAACCACTGCTTTAGATCTTCAAATTGTAAAAGTCTTTTTCAGAATTAAAAAAAAAATTATTCATTTTTGTAATTCTCTGAAACTACCCTAAGAAACTAGAGGAAGGAAAGAAGAAGCAGAATAAATAATTTTTGCATCAAAACACAATGGGTTGAAACCTATGGTCACAGAGCAGAGAGGTAAGCCTGCTAACATTGCATCATCGCAGCTCCCAAATCACTAAAAAGATGGATTTTTCTTAGATAGTCATTATAAGTCAATACAAGCGAAGCAAAGAAATAACTACTCTTATCCCCTTTTACTAAGAAAACTGACTTGATTGACAAAGCCACATAGAGAAAAGTAGCATAATCATAAGTTAATTATTAAATCACACACACCAAATTATTGTTACACCCTAAAAAATATAGATATTTAAAAAAATTTTTTAAAAAAAAGAGATATATATATATATAATCCTCCCCGCCATGTCTACACAGTTGTGGTTACAACTCAAACTAGAGCTGTTGTTGTCTAATAGTGTGTACCAGTGTTAGACGCAATTTTGTTGTTGTAAAGCCAGCCCTGGCTGTTGTTGAAGGCCTTAATATAACCCAACCTATTGGTTGAATGGGGTTTCTGGGACCTGTCCTCAGGGATCCTCATCCAGTGGTGGCACTCTGTGTCACCAGTTGTGTTTCACTCTTTGTGATGTCCATGGTGGGGTTAAATGTCAGTCACTCAGTCACTAGAGCTGTTATACAGGACTATTGGCCCATGCCCAAGAATGTCTTGTCATTAAAACACTATAAAGTTTGAAACCAGCTTTCTCAGGGCTACAGGGTTAATTCCCATCTATTCGTTAGATAGCACATTTCATCCCAATCTTACCTTAACTCATTTTGCCTTACCGTATTGTCATTTCAGCCTGTTAAGACCCAGGCATGTCCTTCTTCTGATAACAAATGTTAAGGATGAGACTGAAAGAAAGAGAGACAAAAATTTGCTACAGAAAATGTCACTTTCTTGAAACCTTGAGATGTACATCATTTAATATTAAGTAGAACTGTTATAGATTTCTAGTAAGTAAGTACAGAATCCTTTTCGCGCCAGTGATGCTTCAGGCATATGACGAGAGATTCATATTTTGATAGACCACATAGCACTCAGTGGGTGATGTGTTTAAGATCAGACACCTTTTCTTTCCACAACATTGCTTGATACCTATTTTAGACTGGGTCAAACTTGGTGACAAGTTTGTTGTTTCAAAACAAAAACAAAAACCACATAAAGCCAACATGTTAACATCTTGTGTGAAGCATAAATTGTATTGCATGTTAAAAAGCCAGATTTATTTAGCATGCTCAGACTGAAAATTAATAGTATGATAACTCATCAAGCATTGTCTAATACAAACAATTTTAACAGAGCAGTATCTTGTAAATTATTGATGTCTTCCTCTGTTTTCTGATATATTTCTTTATCAGAAGTATAGATGAACTCTAAAACTGTTTGATTTTTGTTCATGGTATATATTTAAATGTTTCTATCTACAAAAATCCATAACCGTTTATGCATATTTAAATCCGGTTCCAGTTTTGTCTATGACTGTAACTATTTTTGCTGACATATTCAGTTTTATTTATACATGCTGAGATGCATCTCATTTTATGTTGTAGATCTGAATTATCAAAACAGGACAGCAGAATCAAGGAGCTCACCGTTCAGTTAAATGAGACAAATGAACAAAGGAAAGAGTCTGTAAGCTGACAAACTACCATTTAATGAGAATATATATTTGTCTGTCAATAACTGTACCCTTTGTTTTAGAAATAAGACTGTTTAATTATAAAAAGATTGACTTCCTTGGGCCAGGTTTGATCCCGTATAGCTTAATCTGCCTATACACCATTCAAGAACATGGCACAAAGCACACAAGTGTGCAGATATAGTGACAACCCTCTTGGATAATGAGACTGACTTGCTACCTTCTGTGCTACCCAAGCATTAGGGAGTCTTCGCCCTGAAGTGGTCAGCCATTTACCTCACACTGTGAAGGTCCTGGGTCTGTTTTATTCTGTTTACCAGTGCAATTTTTATGGGCTCCTGGGGATCATTGCTGGAGCTATGGTTTTGTCCTTTGTGCAATGTTTTTGGCAGGGGAGCTAGCTATTCTATGGAGAGAGACTGAGCCATATGGGTTAAAACCCGGTGCAATGAGGTCGATCCTCTCGACTTAGGCAATATTTCTTCTTATGATCAAATGATTAATTATTTGAATATTTACTACATACCTTTACTGAGAGAGATGCAAATGTCCGTTTCAAAATATTAGCAGATCACCATGGCAGAATGCCAACCACTTTACCATGGGGATCTGCGAACAGTTTGAAACAGACATTTGCATCGCTCTCAGTAAAGGTCTGTAGTAAATATTCAAATAATTAATCATTTGATCGTAAGAAGAAATATTGCCTTACTTGAATGTGACTACTATAGAGAACTGAGAAACAACAGCTAAAATTACAGGAACACCTTTGTTTGAAAGCTGCTAAAATAATATTTTTCTCAAAGGTATGTTTTAATTTGATGATTAATCTGCCATTAGACTGTAATGGCCATTGTTGTGTGTACATTATTATTCCCATGAAAATTTAACAAAGAATTTCTCAAGAATTTGGATTTTTATAATGATTATTATAAAATCTGTCCAGGTAGAACAAGAAAAGGAAGTTGTGAGAGAGCGTGACAGTCAGTTACAAACTCTGCAGAGAGAGTTGGAGAACGTCAAGATGATGAATGAAAACTTAGTCTTGTCACTTCAGTTCTGTGAAGAAGAAATGAAGAAGGTGAAGGAAGTATGTCAGCGTGAGCAAGAAGCTGCCAGTCTTGCTATCAGAAAGGTGTGCTTAGTTTTTTTCATTCATTTGTTGTTGTTGTTGTTGTTGTTGTTGTTGTTGTTACAGTGGCTGTAGGGAATATAGGCATCAGTTGCTGCCTTGGAGAATGTTATTTGGTGAGGCACCAGTCTCTAATACAGTGTAACTCCCATACCACTGTCTGAAAACCATGAGAAAACCCACCATAGAAATAAAACCTTGGTACATCAGAGATTGTGAAATCTATTCACTGACCTCAAGGCCACAGAACCATACATTGTTATTAGATTATATAATAATTTTAACTACACAATTGTGGTCTAGCAATAGAAACTAAGAAATGTATGTTGCTAAATTGTTTTTCTTTTTCTTTTAATCTAAACCATTCTCTCTGCAGATAAATCTGCATTACAATTACATATCATCATAATCATCAAATGCCTTGCAGACTGTTTTAAGTTATCATGCCTTTCCACAAATTGTGATCTCTAACAGTGTGCATCAATTCATGTGCTGCATGCCATGACAAAAGGCTATCTTCTTCTTCTTGGTCTTCTTTGCGTTCACCAGCTGTAAACTTGATGGAAAGTTCCGGTTGTTCATCCACTTTGGACTTTAGACTTGTTCCAAAACCTGAAGGTTACATGCACATCAATTTTTCATATCTGAATTATTTTAATGCAGACTGTTGGTTCCTTGCCTCTCAGGGAGATGCACTCATGACTTCCAAGGAAACCACCCAAGTTAGTCGACTCTTACGACATGCTGGTAGGGGATGCAATGGGTCTATTTTTATTTTCCCCACAATGGGACTCTGGAAATCACATGGGGGGAAAAGGCTGTCACAAATCTTCTTGTATTGTCTTCCTCTATCTCTTTTCCCACGAATCCGTCCAGAGGTCACAACATGTTTCAATTTCTCTCTTCTCATAACATGGTCAAAACATTATGACTTCCTCCTTCTGATGTTTGTGAGTTTGTGATGATATTATTTTTAGGCCCTTACCTCTTTCAAAATTTATGTTAAGCATTCTTCTGTAAACCCACATCTTTGATGTTTCAGAACATGTTTGCCTTGTTCATTAATTGTCCAGGATTTACAGCCATTTGTTAAAACTGGCTCTATATAGCATATAGCATGCAAGAATGCCCACAGCAAGGATTTGATGCATAAGGTGTTCTTACAATGACATATATCCAGGCTGAAGCAATGCAAGAAAATGCTCAGAAAGAGAGGCAGAATGCAATAGCTCTCACAGACTGCCAGCTGGCAGAGATGATGGCTACTTTGGACACCTATAAACAGAATAATGAGCGACTAAGCTCTGAGAAGGATGCCAAGATCCAGGCACTGACTGCCAAACTGGAAAATGCAGAATCTCTAGCTGTGGTAAGTGTCTTTCATATTTTTAGAACCCCCCTACCCTTCTAGGATAGCATGGTGTACTATTGTTATAGCTGTTAAGTATGTGTAATTATAATTTCTTAGGAGGGTGAAAGGGGCGTCTGAATTTTGCCCTATTTGGATTGACTTCCAGTGTGTGATTCTGCAGGTCACAGAGGTATAAATGCTTCTTGTGGCAACCCAGAGGGCAAAAACAGGAAGCCAGTCTTTAATATATATCCAGATGTGTTCTACTAAAGAGGAATTCATTATTAACCCTTCTGCCCAGACACTGCTAAAAAGGGGGTCATGAACCAGTAGGAATTCCCACACACACAAATATTTTCAAAAACATCTATGTACACAGGCCACTATCACATTTGTTTTAAATATAAAAACACAAATTTTAAAATATATGGAGATTTATTAAGGGAATAATCAGTAAAGTGAACAGAGTGAAGCATTATATGAAATAAATTCCCCAAAAGCTAAAGCAAAACAAACAAACAAAGAATATGTATTGGTAACTTATGCCATGACCCTATGACCTCTGTTACTAAAGCCAGAAAAAAAGTGTATGTCAACATGGCTTTTAAAGACCATTAGGCTGATAGAGAAATCCCACTAAATGTTATTTATTAGTAAACATATTCATATCAAACAGTCCTTCTCAGAAATGGGTCTTTGCAGACATGCCTTCTGTGGCTTTTACAGGAATGAGGCATTGACAGAAATGCTGGGTTTGCGGCACCTGTCATAAAAGTGTTGAGCAAAAAATTTACCAATGTTGATTGGTAGATGTTCACATATTTTATCACAGACAAATTTCAAATGTTAATCATGACACAAAACAGATATAAGATTTTAAAGTGAAAAATGATCTAATATTTAGTGCTTATAGTAATTTCTTATGTGTTTCTTTATTAAATTAGTTTAAACATTCTCAAGTGCCCATTGTTTTTATAAATAAATTGATATTTAAAAAAACAATTACAGAATATAATTACAAGTTAATATTATACATTTTGTAATCACTCCATAATTTTGAGAAATTTTCTTTTCTGTTAATGTTATACATTTTTTTTAATCCATAATTGTGAGAAATTTTCTTTTCCTGACCAGAGAAAATCTTCATTTGTCAACAACTGTTAAAATGTGTTGGTTTGACATCTACAATTATACTTAACCTCATGTGTGAGCATTTCTGAAGAGAAAATATTTTCTAATTATCTCAATGTTTTATACTTTTAATGTCTCAGTCCCTAAAGCTGAATAGGATAGTCTGTAAAGCCGTGTGTTTTATCTTGTTCCATTTTTACACCAGAAATTTGAAAAAGAGCTGCTTACAGAGAGGAAAGAGATTGAGCATCTGAAGAGTCAGATTGCTTTGAAGACTAAAGAAAAGGTGCAGTTTTGCTTGTATTTAAATTTATAATTTGTGCATTTAGTATTTAAATTATTGTGGGTCTTTATGGCACAGTTGTCAAGCCGTTTGCCTCACGCTGTTAAGGTCATGGGTTTGTTTCATTGGAGGTGTTATTCTGTTTCAAGAGACTCATGGGAATCATCACCAGAGCTACAGAGTTTGTGCTTTGGTGACACTCTTGACAGGCTGCTAGCCATTCTGTGAAAAGAGACTGAGCATTTTGGGATGAAACCCAGTGCAATGAAGTTGATTCACTCACCTCTAACCTTTAACTTTTATTCATAATATTCCAGATGTGTGAGCCACAGTAGACTGTGGCTAGATGCTTGCTGGCCAACTTGAAGGTCTTGAGTTCAAATCCACATTATGCAAAAATAATTTCATAATTGATTTTGGCTGTCAGGCTGACCTACCCTTAGGGAGTACTAGGAAATGTCTTGGGGAGTAAAAATGGACAGCTAGCAAATCTGAGGAATCAGATTTTATTAGCACTGGTCATTGCAACACTCATGCTTGACAAAAGGGATGTTTTCAAGAATCTATATATATAAATGACTGCTAGTTGAAGACACAATAACAGAGCAGACAATATATTCAAGAATGTTTGAGTGGTTAATAGCAATAGATAGAGGGGAAGAAGTTTTTATATATATATCTACTAAAAAATACAGGATAGAAATTATTGCAAACCCCTAACAGCTGACCTTAAATGGGGAGACGGCACGTGATTGATTGAACTTGGATTGAAGTGTGATTCCAGTAAAGGGGCATAGGAGAGAATAAAATGCACTGTGTTTACAATCAATGTATTCCTGGACAGGTCAGCATCTACACCCTTTGATACTTCCTCAGGGAGATGGAACATCGGTAGGTTGCCAAGAGTACTACAAAATAGGTTCTTAATAAACAAAACTATGGTTTCAAGTCTTCTGCTTCTTCAGCAGTCTGAGCACATGAGATTAATTGCTGCAGATATCACCCACCTCCATTTGTCTGGGTGAAATACCTTCTTTTTTTTTAGTTGGCGACCCAAGCGTTTTTAAGTCTGTCTGGATATTATCTCTACGCCTCATGGTCTACAACCATTCATCTCTGGTGTGTACAAGATTTTGCTCTTTGTCATCTGCCATTCCCTCTGTATGCCCCAGAAATGTCAGTCTATTAGCCTTTACGATGTCAATTATAAATTGTGGTTTAAACAGATTATGAATTCTGTTGCTGCTTCTCACTCCATTCCAACTGTTTGCCTCAGTAGTTAAACCTGATAAATAATATTACTTTTCAATTACAAGCAGATTCACCAGTCCCCTTTAATAAAGACTCCAGCTCCTTTGCCTGATAATCCACGAACTCCCGTGGCAATGACACCAATGAAAACACCACAGAATGGAATCCTTCGGGCCAGCAATTTTGTTTCTGTTTCCAAGAGGAGAAAAGTGGCATTTTTACCTAATGACTGCAGCCAGCCTTCGTCTTCAGAGGAATCAGATCTTATGGAACTAAATGTAAGATTCATCTTAGTTTAAACTGTTATGTTTTACAGTATGGATGTACAGTATTTTTTGTTGGTGATATAAGTGAGAAAGAGTGGCTGGCCAAATGGTCAAGAAGGAGGACTCATGCAGGAGACCTGGGTTCAAATCCTCAGTAACGTTGGGGATTTTTATGTGTGTGTGGGAAGGGGTGGGGCATGAATGAAATCCTGACTTGCACAGTCTGTGACGATAGCATTAGCCCTAAATCCCCAGACTCGAAGACCCCCCCCCCCCCCTCCACACCACTCCCACTCTCTCTCAGTACCTACACCACAGAAAAGGTAAATACAGGCAGTAATGGAAGTGGGTTTTTTAATAGCAGATAAAGTGAAAGGAATTTGTATCTCTTCTAACTCTTCGAGTAATTTTATAGCCTGTGTTCCAAAAAATAAGAACATTGTCTAGACCTAACTGACACTGAAAATATTGCTTTTTTCACTATTTTTTCTTTTTGTACTAGCTGACTTTGTTATTGTTGTAGGTTTTGTGAGAGTTATATATCAGAGCTGTCCTTCATTAAAGTTTCACTCTATCAATGACTGAAACAAGTCTACTTCAAATATTTCTTTGTCTGGCTTCAGATAAATCTGATAAATACACATTTTATTTAAATAGGAGGCTTCTAAAATCATAAATCTTGTTGGCATGTATGAAAATGTCTGCTTGGAGGCCATATTAT